GGGGGAGGGTGAGAGTTTTACGGCACTTACAACACAAATTATAGATCATATTTATCACAAGTGCCGTGTGTGCTGGTGATGTTTTAGTACTCTCGACAGTCGAACCTTATCTGACGGCGACCTGTCCTAGACAAGCGCAAGAACAAACAACCACATTCCACTAATTCCCCCTAGTGGTTTTCTGTGTTGTAATAACCCTGCCCATAATGTCCGCTTATTTAAGACCGGGTGCCCATCGCGAATGGGATCGGGTCGGGTCGATCGCCCAACTCGTCGCCTGGAAAACAAACGCATTTGTTTTTGAGGCGACGAGTCGGGTGCGATAGCCTCTTTACGTCCTCAATCTGGCTATCAAACCGCCCCGCCCCACCAGATCCCCCAGTGGATACCCCGTATAGAGACAATCACCTCTCTCCTAGATTGTGGGTGGCGGTCTTGTGCAAGTTCGATTGTAGTTGTATAAATATAGGTTTGACTCCCCTTTCAACACTGTAAGGTTATTTTATAAGGGGCATGACCACTGATTTAGTGTCCATCTCCAATAGAACCAAACCAATAAATGTTTGAAGGACTTAAATAGACTTTCAAAAAGATCTAAAAAAGTGTGTTTAAAAAAGAAATCAAGAATCCGCCTCTGCTGAAGATTCGAACGAATTAAGGCCATTCGCACTACAGTCCAGCGTGAGAAAATTTCATATCGAGGCCGTACTGATGCAAGTGGTACCATGGATGGAGTCCCATGTTTCCCAAAAAATCAAAGATGGACAAGGTTAAGGGGGAAGAGCTTAAAGGTGGGGAAGAAATTGTGCTCGTAAATGCTACGCCAAGTAAGAAGGAATGGCCTAAGTGCACATGGTCACTGCGTTTGACAGCTGGCTTCACCGAATGAAAAAGGGCATTGAAATCAAAGGTTTTTCGATCTATTGAGTAGAAAAATATGTCTCTGTAGGCATGTACAAGATTCTGTGTCTGTAAAAAAAAATTTAATTTTTGATTTCACAGAACAAACTTCCTTTTCTTGGACAGATCTCGTACTTCAGTCGAACAATTCCTCCCAAGTCAAAAATTTGTTGTCGAAGAGAAAAGTGGCCATCTTAGACAGGGGTTCATCTTGGACCATAACTAGAAACCCGGGGTGGGGGGTGGGGGGGGGGGG